ATAGACTAGACTATAGACTAGACTATAGACTAGACTATAGACTAGACTATAGACTAGACTATAGACTAGACTATAGACTAGACTATAGACTAGACTATAGACTAGACTATAGATTATAGACTATAGACTAGACTATAGACTAGACTATAGACTAGACTATAGACTAGACTATAGACTAGACCATAGGCTAGACTATAGACTAGACTATAGACTAGACTATAGACTAGACTATAGACTAGACTATAGACTAGACTATAGACTAGACTATAGACTAGACTATAGACTAGACTATAGACTAGACTATAGACTAGACTATAGACTAGACTATAGACTAGAATATAAAGTAGACTATAGACTATAGACTAGACTATAGACTAGACTATAGACTACACTATAGACTAGACTATAGACTAGACTATAGACTAGACTATAGACTAGACTATAGACTAGACTATAGACTAGACTATAGACTAGACTATAGACTAGACTATAGACTAGACTATAGACTAGACTATAGACTAGACTATAGACTAGACTATAGACTAGACTATAGACTAGACTATAGACTAGACTATAGACTAGACTATAGACTAGACTATATACTAGACTATAGATTAGACTATAGATTAGACTATAGACTAGACTATAGACTAGACTATAGACTAGACTATAGACTAGAATATAGACTACACTATATAATATTATATACTAGACCAGGGTCAGTACGTGGACAAAATTTGGTCTTTAGCCGACTGTTTAAGTAACTTGACTAAAGGTGAAACCAAAGGACAAATAAGACTAAAGACATCTAATAAATGATTAATACCAAATGCCTTATTTGAAAAAAGACTTTTTGCGGCAATTGTAATTGGTTGAGTTTCGTAATGCATCAAGAAGTTTCCAATGTCATGCAAACTTGTTTTAAAGAAATGTATTCTTAATTAAGTTTTCAAATAACATCTTTGAAATAATCATTAGAGAAAAATAATTATAAAGGAAAATATACTTATTTTACTTAAATTTATGTTTAAAGAAATATTCACATAATTAGTTTTCTTTAATTGTTTTCCCCCCTGTAGGTCTTTTATGTGCTGCTTGTATATTTATGCTCTGGACAAGACACTTGGTTATGGTTTATATGTTTGTGATATCTCTCGGTTTAACTTTCCTCTCTCACTGGTCGAATGTTTCGGCGTTGGCGATACTCGAGAAAAGTCCGTGCATACTGGAAGATATATTATCTATGAACACGACACGTCTAATGGATACGGGTAATGTGGCAGCATCTCTGCTGCCGCACTTGGTGGCACAATGGTTTATGGGTATGCTGTTCGCTTACATACACTTGGGTCCTCGTTACGAGTTACTGCAAAAATCGATGCCTTTTATATTTGCTAGTCCCATTATTTTGGCCACTTTGCCATTAAAAACCAAAATGATCAAATATTTGCCCATCGTAGCTGATGCCGTGCCATTAGTGTTGACGAAAATCACTGTGATGAGTTGTAGCATGGAAGCGGGTAAAACCGTGTACAATGGCTATCAATATGCCATGAATTTTGTTAGTAATTTCGGTTTATCGGCTTTGATTGAGAACGAGTGGCAGCGACTAAATGTGCCCAGTGTTTTAAGAGTTTTCTGGACCATAAGGTATAAAATCATAAAAACATATTTTCTATTTTAGTAATTCAAAATGTTTGTGTAATTTTAGAATTTCTCAAGAATTTGTCTCCATGCTGTTAAATGATAGTGTTAGTACTCTAAACTTATTGCCCACCATGCAAAAGTTACTGGTCGATGGTTGTGAAACATTAACAGCGGTTTTGGGCATGACTTCGGTGATTTCGGTTATTTGCCACTATATAGGAAAAGTCTTTCAATGGTATCTCTTGACTTTTGACAACGATGAGGAGAAGTCGTTGGGCACTGTTTCAGCTGTTCTATTTTATATATTGGCTTTGCAAACCGGTCTAACATCTCTCTCGCCAGATAAACGTTTTGTACGTCTGTGTCGTAATCTGTGCCTTTTAACAACTGCTCTATTACACTTTTTGCACAATATTGTTTCGCCTATACTGATGTCATTGAGTGCGGCCCGCAATCCATCGCGCAAACGACATTTTCGTGCCTTAACTGTGTGCGCTTTTCTAGTCATTGCGCCTCTCTGTCTGTTGAAAACGTTATGGAGTAGACATTCGCCCTCAACATGGTTATTGGCCGTAACAGCATTTTCTGTAGAGGTTGTGGTGAAGGTAAGTGCTCAATGACAAATATTAAGTAAAATCTCAAGTTGTCATATTTGTCTTGATTCATGTTTTCCTTTAAAGGTTTTGGTTTCATTGGCTACTTACACTTTATTCTTACTGGATGCTCGCCGTCAAACATTCTGGGAAAAATTAGATGACTATTTGTATTATGTGCGTGCTTTTGGCAATTCCGTTGAATTCTGTTTTGGCATTTTGCTCTTCTTCAATGGTGCTTGGATTTTAGTTTTTGAATCCGGTAAGTTGAATTTTTAATTATTATTTTTCTTCTAAGATTTTATGTTCATTTTGTAGTTATAAAATTTTCATGACATCGCAAATTTTTGTAATTATTTATTATACGGATCATTATTTTATCATACAAAAGCTACATTGTAGTTAAAGTTTTAGTTTTTAACTGTAAATACTTATTTATTTAAGAGAGTGCGTGCGCTAGTATGAATGCTAAGTATGAATGTGTTAATTTCGTTAAAAATTGGCTTAAAACTTTTCGATCTATAATGTTTTTTTCTTCCACCTTACTTGAGTTGTCTTTAAGCACACTTTACTTTTCTATTGAATTTCATTGAATTAACCTTCATCGAAGGATAGAGGATAATAGATTAGTGTTAAGTTGTTTTCATTAATCAATATGTATTCATTTTGAACTTTAAATATCAACTACATAATCTATTCTTAAAAACTAAATAGTTTCAGACAATCATGTTGCAAAAAAAAAAACAAAGTATGTATAAGACCATCATCATGTTTCATCAGTTTGAAGGTAAAAAAGGTAGTTTATTTACAGTGCGTTTCATATGGTAATTATTTTTTTATAAACTTTTATTTGGTATAAAATTTAGTAAAATATTTCATATTTTGCATAACAGCATCTAAAAAAATAGTTTTTTTCCATAACTCTTATAACAAAGAGATGTTATTTCCCTACTTTTTTACAAAATCTTTAACAAAAAAGTTTATTGCAAAAGTATTTTTAAAGCTTTTATGATTTGATGTGTTCGTTAGACTGCCCATTTTTACACTATTTAAATTTTTTAGGAATTTTCAGAGATAACTAAGTGGTAACGCCGAATTCAAAAGCACTTGGGTAAAAAATATATTGAATTCATTAGTTAAATTATCATATTAGAAGTCAAAGACTTACTATTATAATGAAAAGAAAACTACAATACAGTATTTTAAAAATTCATCTAAGATTAGCTTTGTTCAAGGTCATAACATACATATATGTATATGTACGTACATATGTATAAGAAAAAACAGCTCATTTCTAAGTTTCATTGTGAGTTTTGTCCATTGGCTAATACAACATTATGCAGCGTACTGTAAATAATTAAATCATCCCTACCAACTTTTAAACACAATCCCTAAAACCTACTCCCATCACATATAACCTTCATTATCATTACCCATAATTCTGTTCTTCATATTCCCAAATTTCAAACGTCTTTTATTTCATTTCAATATTATCTCCTACACCATACGTTGTCGTTCTATCCACACAACTATTCTATTCTCCCTTCCACCACAACATATCCAACAAAAAACAATTTCTCTATTTTTAAACAAAACAAACAAAAAAACAAATTGCGTGTGCATGTAAAATTTTTATTTGGTTGATTGGTACCGTATAATATAACTTGATAGCACAAAATGCTACAGGAGGCGCCATACGAGCCATAATGATGTGTATCCATGCGTACTTTAATATTTGGTGTGAGGCCCGTTCTGGATGGTCGGTCTTTATGAAGAGAAGATCAGCTGTACATAAAATATCCGCACTGCCCGAAGCAACACCGGCCCAATTGCAAGCCTTCGATGATGTTTGTGCTATTTGCTATCAGGTATGTTCATACAAGAATAAATTTAATTTGGATTATTAGTTAAGAAAGAGATTTGTTTTGCAGGAAATGTATTCAGCAAAAATTACAAGATGTCGCCATTATTTCCATGGAGTTTGTTTGCGTAAATGGTTGTATGTTCAAGACAGATGTCCTTTATGTCACGAAATTATGATGTATACCGATAAAACTGATGAAGCCGAAGAAGAGGTGCGTCAACAGCAAGAACAAAATGTTCCTTTACAGAACAGTAATAGAGAGGTAAGTTTTCAAAGTCGGATAAATGAAAAACTATTTTATTATAAACACAAATTTGTTTTTTTTTTTTCTTTATTCAGGACAATGCCATTGAAAATAGAAATCGTTCCTCCGACGATACTAGTTCGTCATCATCAGCTGGTAGCAGTAATAGTTTTAATAGTAATAATTCTGGTATTGCCAGCAGTAGTTTTATTGCAGCTAACGTAGTTGCTACTTCGTCAAATGCCACCACTACATCTACGACTTCAACAACAGCAGCCGCTGTTGCTACCGCTACGGCTGCGGCTAGTAATACCACGCATAGTTTTCGGTTTTCACCTGATCTTGATGTACAGGATTAACTATAATTTAAACACTCTAGTGTACTTATATGTATAAATTGAAACAAAAAACACAAAAAATTTAACCCTAAAAAGCATATTTTTAAGATTTATTATAATGCATACTTATTATGATTTTGTGCTATTAGACACAATTTTATAAATATTGGTTTATTATTTTAATTACTATTATTACATCATCACTTTCCTCTATTCCCCCACCTCCTCATCAAAAAAAAAAAAAAATAAATAAACGGAATTTACAAATATTATTAAAACAAAATAATTTTAAAGAAAATTTAAAACAAAAACACTTTAGAGCTTTATTTCAAAATAAGTTAATTTTATTAAAAACATAATGAGTTTCTAAACAGCATTCTTTAAAAGACACTTTTAACATTTAATAACACTAAAGGCAGCTGGATTTTTAGAAAATATTTAAAACAAAAATTGTATTTCTCTCATCTCTCCACAAACCCTGCCCCCCAACTTCTATTGTAATTGTGTTGTATGGTTTAAAAACAATTAAAATATAATTAATTTAAATAATAAACTAAAATATAAATAAAATTATTATTAAAAACAAAATAACAAAGAAAATATTGTGAAGTCTGATCATGATGAAATCTTAAGCAGAACATAAACAAACAACATTAGCAATGTATATTTTTTAATCAATTACACAAAAATAACAAAATAAAATATAAAAAAAACATAGAAATAAAAGCTAAATTTAAACAAAGTATATCGAGTAGAGATGTAACCAGAACAGCGTAAAAGTTTTAGAAATAATTTTGTAAAACGAAGTAATATAAACACGAATACATCCCGTATTACAACTACATTTCATCAACCCCTCTCCCTGCTCTCAATAGACTCACAAACAAATCCCAATCAACTAACGGAAACAAGTAAATTCATATTATTGTAAAAAATATATAAGGATGGAAATATTAAAAAATAATGAATTATTATTAAAAACAAACAAAAAAAAAATTAATAAATTCGTTTAATTTCTCTATATAATTGTCATTTAGCAAGTAGTTTTTGCTATTTCGTTAAATTCTTTTTTTGTTCGATATGATTAATTAAAGATCAAATCATTGTAATTACTGAGTAAATGATATGGTGAAACACGGCAACAGGTGGTGGTGCGTACTACAGTTACACGATCAGCACGTTCAAAGTTGGCCTTAACCGTTTCATAATAACGACCATCACTGTGAAGGGAGGAAGGTGGATAATTCAGTTAATTTTACATTTTCATTAGAACTAAAATACTCGAAACTTACCTCAAGACCATGCAACGCAATTTCAAACATTTCACACGCAATAAATCAATGGCCTTTTGACTTTTGTCCGAAAAACGTAAGTTATCAGGATCCCATCTGTAATGCAAACGAATTTTATATATTTTACATTTTTCACTTTTTTAGTTCTTTTCAATTTTAATAAAAAACCCAACATTCTCTTGGGATATTAACAAAATTATAGTTTTACTTCTTCTGAAGAATTTTACTTTTGATCAATATAATTCTTTATTTTTTTGGATTTAAAAATCGAAATCGTATAATGTAAAAAAAATTTACTTACCTCAATTCCAAACGCTCCAAATTACCACAGCTGGAAGCAATCGTGTCCATCAACTGATCAACATGAATATTGACACCCAGTTTTTCAGCAGTACCCATAACAATAATCCTATTTTAATAAACAATGTGATTAAAACTTCAATTAAACTTCCATAGTTCTACGTACTTGGCATTAGATAAAACCGGCAAGACACTCATCCATAATTGATCGGTAATATGAGGCATACCAGAAAGGCAACAGGCGGCCAATTGCTGGCCATGACGTGTTAAAAACTTTTGTAAAGCATCATCTGTAATATTATCCGAAGAGTCCAAATCCAAAGAAATTAAAGATCTAAAAACAGAAAACGAAACATTTAAAATAAAATTAAAATATCCAATTTATTAATTGTCACCCACCTAGTCATGCCCGATTCCATCCATTGTTTCAAAACGGTATCATTAAAACCATTAATTTGACCAGCTGATAAAAATTTCAAATTAGGTATACGTGTCAACATGTCCACCAAACACTCAGTGGACAAATCTGTGGCAGTAATATCCAGTTCCTGTAAAGCGCACTTATCCCAATCAGCCTGCATAACAAACTCCGATTTCAAGCTAGTGCCATTCATTAGCAAACAGGTCAAACGTTTAGAACGTTGTATCAAAGTTTTCAAAGTGGAACCAGTAACTTTATTGCAGAAATTTACCGCCAAACATTCCAGTTGAATACAATTGGAACTGAAAGCATCAATATGAGAATCATCAATGAAATTAATGCCATACAAATTGATGACACGCAAATTAGGAGTGGCCGACTTCAGCTTGTGAACATTGATAACTTCATAAATTTCCTCTTCCTCCTCCTCACACTTCTCATAGGTACCAATCAAGTGCAACACCTCTAGACCATTGATGAAATTGTAAATTTTACGCATGAAACCTTCCATAAAGATGACTTCTGACAGACAAATGCACATGTAACGCAACTTGGTGGGAAAAGCTTGCATTTCACTGAAATCATGAAGTTGCATGGCTGAAAGAAAAGTAAGTTTGAATAGTTTTTCTTCTTAAAAATAGTAATTTTGTATGTAACTAACCAGTGGAGAAATCCAAAAGCATATGTGTCAAGTTGGGACATTTGGATGACAGTTCATGCAGTACAGTATGTGTAATCAATTCGATGGGTAATTCTATATAGCGTAGAGTGGGACCAAAACGCACCGAAATCAGCGAAAGTAAAGATTCCAATGAACCCACATGCAAACCAGAAATTTCTGGTCTTAAGGAGACATTTTTCCATAGTTGAGTATCGTAGGCAATTTTACGCCAACGACGACATACTCTGGCCAAACGACATATTTCACGATGTGAGAGATACGAAAAGATTTGCAGAATTACTTTATCCGGTAATTTTTCAATTGTCTAAAATGTTTAGGGAAGAATTTTTATTACTAACTTGAAATTATAGTTTAAAAAAACCTTTAGAGGAATTGGGCTTGTACAGCGTATTTAAGTTCAAAACTACTTATATTTGCTGAACTTTATTCAAACCAATTTTCGCAAGAATATATTAAACAGATTTTAGTTGAATGAGATAAAATATGTTTTAGATCTTCTTGAGATTTTAATTGGGTTTGATTAGGTTATCCTTCGCTGAGTTTAGTTGTCATCAGTTCATCTTTTAAAGTAATAACTTATGATAACTGCCTGTTCATTGTTATTGTTCTAAATAGAGTTAGTATATTTTTTAACACAAAAAAGTAATCAGACGCTGAAAGCCCCGGATTTAGTTTGACTAGGCAATATATTTATGATATTGAAAGTACATTTATTCAGCCATATTCTGCATTTCGATTACGTTTCCGCATTCAGTTACGCTACGATCGAAAATTAGTATTCCAACAAAAAAGGAATCGTAAGAAAAAGAAGAAGCAATTCCATTTTATTTCAATGTTTTACGATTGTATGTTTTCTACATTACGATCGTAACAACGTTTTTGTAAGTTGTTATTTTAGTGACGGAGCTTCAAATCGATATGCAGAATACCAAAGTTGCCAAACAGAGAAAATTCCGATTCGAATTAAAATGCAGAATAGGGGTGATTATATATTTTGTTCCAATAAGCTTAACTTTAAACTCCTTCATTGCGCGCTTAAACTTGCAAATAAAATTAACTAATTGAGTATTCCAAAAACAGCTTTCGAGAATTAATTTTAATTTAATCGCTAATCTTTCACCTAAAGATTGGCCCTAAAAATACCACCAAATTATAGTTTTCAACAGATTAAAAGAATTTTAATTTGAAGATTGAGACCAGCAGAAACAATTTTTTTAAGTATCTATTGAATAGTTCTAAATTAACTGCAGGTTTAAAAGAATATTTTGTATTTAATTAAAGAAGAATTTTGTTTAACGAAAATCATGTTCTACTAGGATCTAGTTTTGAGGACCGATTTACTATTAAACAATTAAATTTGTATATAATTTTCAAAATATTTACTCAACTATAATAATTTTCCTTAATTCTAACCAAAATTTGTGAATTTGAAATAAAAATTATGTTTTTGTTTCTTGTTTTGTTTTCTTGTTCAATATTTCTACATGCGGGTGTCATTCGAAATGTATGCTCCATAAACACTTTTTTTGCTTTATTCTAAATATAGACTACCGAAAAAGACAATTTAGAAAATAATATACTAGAATTTCTAATAAAATTTTGAAAGTAAATTTATAATTACCAAAAAACATTCTTAAAAATTGTTAAAAACAGACTTTTAAATTAGTTTAAAGTTTTTGAAATTTATAGTAATTATTTTTTTAATATTAAACTTGACACACTTATCTTATTTTCTTTCGTTAAAAAAGCACATACCGTATCTGCGAAGGGGCTACGCAATGTACCATCCGATAGATACACCTGTGAAGCTTCTACAGCTAATTGACCCCAAATATCTGTGGATAAATCCATTGCGTTTTTAATAATTTAACGGGATTTTAAAGATTTTAATCTATTTCGAAAAAAGTTCAATATTTTCTTTTCTTTTTGATACGTATAAAATTCTTATGTAAAACGTATTGTTTCAATGAGTATTCAACCGAACCGAACGCATTTAATACTAAGGCACTATTACTATAAGGAATCTCCAAAATACTTTGACTAACTGTGAGAATTTTTAAATTTTCTAAATTTAGTTGTACACCAAGAGCATAAGTGTTTTCAGAAAAAGAAGAGCAAACAAAGAACAAGAGATTTTATGTATCTTTCTAGCTGTTAATTACAAACAGCTGTGTATTGTTATTTTTCAAAATTTTGTATTGAATTAAAAATTTGTTTTGTTTAGAATATTGTACAAAGTAAAACAATAGAAACGGAATAAAACTTTAAAAAGAGAAAAAACTAAAAGAAAATTAAATATTTAACAAAAAAAAGATTTTGTTTACAAGTAAAATTATAATACTCACTAGTTTCTCTTTCGATTGTATATTTATGTCATCTCTTCCTATGGCCGATGAAGAGGTTTGTGCTGCCAAAACATTCCAATTATCCATGTTTTGTTTTTAGTTTTTTTTTCAAATGGAAATCAATTAAATAAATGAAATTTGTTTGGTAGATTTGTTTAATTGATAAAGAATTTGTAAATATTTTAGGCCAAGACACATACGCCAAACATTTACTTTTCCTAAATTGTGGTGTTGCAGGTGCTGTACATTCACAATAACAGTTGTTGGTTTTGAAATTGCTTTGAATTTTTTCTTTTTCGTAAAGCAAAGTGTATTTTGGATAACAACCTATAAAAGGGATTTAAGAAAAGTCTATTTTGCAAATTATTCTCATAAAAATTTTTATTGACTTTGGACTTCAATTGTTAAATTCTTATAAGAATAAGATAAAAAGTACAATTTCAGATTGTTTTGAATTAATTTCAAAGTTTTTTTCCTTTTTGTGTTTTCTCATTGTTTTATCAAAACTTTGAATATAATTCTCAATTTATATTGCACTAAATTCTCTTAGAATATACACAATTAGTTTTGTTTTTTTTTTTTAATAAACTTTTCTTTAGTACAACTAAACATACTAACTACATACAGATTAATGGAAAGTTTTTCTTGTCATAAGGCTAAAACGAATATTATGTACCTTTCACTATTAGTATGAAAGTTATTTACACAATTATGTAAAATATAAGAAACAAATTTAATTTTGATTTTTTTCTATTCTTTTTCACAATAAGGACAAAACTTAAGTTTTAAAATTTTGAATTTTTCCTTACAAAATTTTTCGAAATTTCAAAATGTTACACACCAAATAATAAATTTAAATTATGTAGTTGAATAATAACATACTAGTAGTGAAAGTTACAAAAACAAGAAGCGTTTTCTTTCATTCATTCTACACATGCTGCTGCAAACAAAAAAAAGAATAAAATAAAATGCAAGTCATAATTTTGGCATCAAGGGGTTTAAAATAGAAAAAAAGTTTTGTTATTTTTTTAAATATTTACCCATTTTTGTTTAATTTATAATAAAACAATTATTAATATTTGTTAAAGAAATATTAGTTAGTTTTTCATAGAAATTTATTATTTTGTAATAATTTGTTTTAAGCACAGTTTCTACTTAATTTCAAAACTTAATATTGAGATTAATAAGTATTATTATCAGCTTTAGAATATATTTTTTATAAATTCTTGTTTAATTTTGAATTAATAGCTTTTAGTTATTAACAATATTTGTTTATTTGTTGTTTAAATAAATTTGCATTTTGTTGCCTTAATTTGTTGCTAAAAATATATTTTTTCAAGGGTCTCTTTCTCTGTCTTAAAAGAAATTTTCAATTTCTTAAATATTTTAAGATATTTATTTTTTAACTACCTTGATTTTTTGTTTAAATAATATTTAAGTTTATAGTTATTTTTGTAATTATTATTAATTTTGTTTCACTTCTTTTATATTAAAAAAAACTAATTGGTTTTTTTATATTTCTAGGCCTTGCATAAGTTATTTTCTTTATATTTTATCTAGCCGGACGTTTTTGGTTTTTGATTTTTTTCCTTATGATGGAGGTGATGATGTGTACCTCACTGCAATACCCGCACAACTGAGTTTATTTTCATTTTTGGCAAAATAAAATAAATATTTCCGTTGTAAAGCGTTATAAGTACATCATGTACTTATGCATAGTTTCATTTCATTAACATCATCTATCCATCCAATCTACAACATCATGTACAACGCCGTCGTCGAAAAACAAATAAACATTTCAAAAAGAGAGCATTTCTTTTGTGTTTTTTATGAAACTTTTTCAAACAACTTTTTATTGAAATTTTTGTTGAATTTTTCTGAGTTTTCTTATGAGAGAACATTTGATGAAAGTTAATTAACTTTTTAGGAGTAATTTAAGGTAAAAATTTAGTTTTTATTTTTCTTATTCTTTGTGTACTCTCTAAATACAGCTAATATTTGTAATTGTACCTACAGGTATGTTAAAGATTTGAATGTCGTAATGGATTTCATTCGATTTCAAGAATTTATTTTATAAAAATGTAATAAAACTTTAGAAATTAAGTTAAATTATAGACAACACAAGAGTTTTCCTTTCATGAGTGCATAGTACCTAGAAGTCCATGATCTCTAAACTTAAGAGTTAATCAGACTTAACTAAACAGAATCAGTCACTTGATTACTAGTTTTTCACAAAAACATTTTGTTAATATCTCAGTCACCCTGCAAAAATGTTTCGATTCCATAATGGATTTAGATTTTAAAGTTATCTTCAAGTCCTATTAAAACGATCTTTTAGCATTAATTCATTTTTTCAAATAACGACATAATTCTGTTTAGGTTTTAAATCCAAATATGAATTTTCCCACAAAATTTTGAATCCCCGGTTTATTACAATTACTATATAAATATTATTCAGCCAAAATAAAAAAAAAATCCAAAAATATTTTTGAAAATAATAAATTTAAAAAAAAAATCATCAATTAAACCTAAAAATCACATTAAAAAATAATTTAAATAAAATATATAATAAAAAAAATCTATTTAAAAACCATTACGACATCTAGCCAAAACAGCTTCAATAATCATTTGAAACCATTCAGCTGAATATGTTGAATAATCGGCGGTTCTAAATAAATTAACTTTAGCTTCGGTAGTCAATGATGAACACAAATAATAGTTAATCGACATTTCAGTCAATTCCACATGATAGTTTTTCATCGACCATTCCAAAACACTCAAACAATTCGATTCATCCAGTTGTGAAATTAATAGTTGTAAAACAAATTGTTCCATCTCGGGTATAATATAAATGCGTGACATTTCAAAAGCTTCCAAGAGAGCATAGTATTTATCAGCTGGTGGTATGTTCATTTTTAAATTTTTCGATTGACGCACAATGAGATTGAGAAAATAAAGTAGACCACTAACGGTGTAGGTGCGCAAGTGTATCTCACCCTCATTACCTTCACGAAAATCACTATTTAACATTGTATTGAATACTTCACTGGTGGAGCAGAGTAAAGCCTTGTTAAAGGCTACCGCTACTGTCTCTGATTCGCTATTGTCTTCGGTTTCGTTTGGATCGTGTACCAAAAAACGCATATCGCATGACTCATGTAAAGGTTGACCAGCATCCTTTTCTATGAATATGTCATATTCATCTAGACGTTTGTCAGCCGCCGTCTGTGGTATATCAATGCCCAAGGTGAAGCGTGACATGCAAGTTAGCGAATCAACTGCTTCGGCTGTAAATTCATCTTGTTTGGCACTTAATATTATATTAAGTAAAACCGAGAGGGCATTGCCATCGTTTAGGAATTGATATAGCAGTGGTTTACTTTTGATAATGTAGGCTACAGTAATGGCGGCTCTTTTCTGTGATACAATATCCTCACAACGCAGTAATCGAGCCAATTCTTCTTTGCCATAATTACATTCACCCACGGATGTTAAGGTGTCTAAGAATCCAAATCCATCTTTGGCCATCTGAAAAGAAAAAAAAAAAACGTTTTTATTATTTTAGTATAAAATTTTGTGGTGAGATGTACAAACCTCTTTGATTTTTGTTAATTGGAACAATTGGTGACATATGCCCTGTTTAATGACTTGACCAAAAAATTGACTTTCCCTAAAAGAAAATTTAGGCAAAAGTAAATGGTTTATTTATTTTTGAATAAATACTAAAAATTAAAATTTTTTTTTGTGAAAATTTAATTTTTTTGTTGTAAAAAATTTATTTTTTTTTTAATTTGATTTTTAATAAAAAAATTTAATTTTTTATACAAAATTTTTAAAGATTTTTTTTTTTCGAAAAAATCGAATTATTTTGAAATTTAAAATTTTTAGGGAAAATTTAAATTTTTGTGAAAAATTGATTTTAATCAATGATTTAATTTTTATGAAAAACTATTTTTTTAGTGAAATTAATAAAATGATAAACGGAAATTTTGTTCGTACTTACAATAAAATATTGGTAAGAGATCCAGCAAAGTCTAAATTAATACCAAACATATTAATGGCTTTAATAAGGGTTTTCATGGTTTCGGGTTTCCCCAAGTCTAAACTCTTCTTGACCAAACAAGTTACACGAAATATTAAATTATCTATTATATCTATAGTATTGTGAGGCAAATTACTAGTTGGTGGCAATTTTAAAGCAGCATCTTAAAAGAAAGAAAATAAACACCAAATATAAATATAGAAATTCTTTAACATAAAAGTCCCAAATCATCAACAGACCTTGACTTATTTCTTCATCATCTTCTTTATCCAGTAAAATATTATCTTCAATGGGTTCAGATCTGGCAGCAACATCCAGTAGATTCATTATTATGGTATGATCATTACAATTGGCATTTGGATTGCTGTACAAATAGCTGCTAGTATCTCTCTTATTATCATTCTCATTCTGCTCCTCTTCTTCCTCTTCATCGTCACTGCATACGGGAGAATAAGATTCTTCATCGGATTCTAACAGTAAAAACATTTTTATAAAATTTTTTGTCTCTGTACTAATTAGTAACATTATTACCATTTGTTTGATATACATTTCCACCCACTGGTGACATGCTGCGAGAACTACAAGGACTAGATGGAGCATTGTATGATCTAGGCGAACTGCTGGGTGAATCACAGTCCAAATAGATTTCTTCTTTTACCTTAGGAAACTATTTATAAATTAAATTCAATAATTTCCATTTATAAAACATTTTGTATATTCACCTTGCATTTGGTTTCTTTAACTATTTCCGGCAGTTTACGTTTTTTAGAAGTTTGCAATTTTTCCTCACGTTTCTTTTTATAGTATTCATCATCGCTAGCTAAATACAAATCAAGTTCTTTGATTAGAACATTGATTAAGCCTTCGCGTAACATCAGATCCATGCTCATGTTGTCATATTGGAAATTGATTAAGACATTTAAGATCTAAGAAAATAAATTTAAACTGAAATTTAACTTGAATTCAATTTTTTAAAATCTTAACTTACCGCTGATTTCTCTGGCTGGGAATTAGATTCCTTACACATCGCTATAAGTTTTCTTAAGGCTCCAGACCTTCGTATTTTAGAACGATTACAGGCATCCGTCGATAGTATACTTATAATATTGATACAATGTCGGCTTTCACTTTCATTGGGAGCTGCCTCCATATCACTTGACACCAATAATTCACAAGCAGCCAGAATAGCATCAGCAGAACTTAAAATGTAAAAAGCTCCCGTATTTTTCGAAAGATTTGATAAGATTTTTAAGGCTACACTTCTGTGTTTATTCTTTTCATCGGTTACAAAATAAACAATTGGAGCAAATGTACAATTGGCTCGATTCAGCGAATCCCATATGGGTACTCCTATCTGCAGCTCTGAAATGGCCAGTAAACACTTTAGGATTTCACATACTAGATCTAAGGCTACTCTTTCCTTGGGCATAACATAAGCATTAGAATTACGAGTGGTATTTTTCAAAACTTCATGATCAAATATATCACTGCGTACACCTTCCAAATTACGGGCCACCTCTTCGAAATATTTCTCACGGTGCTGATTACGTTTCAATCCCACTTTTAAAGGAGCCTGGGCATCATTTAGCAGTTTTTCCTCGACCACGTAATCATTATTTTTCATTACCGAGGCCAAAATACGTAAAATTGTGGCTAAACCAGAAGCCTGCAGAAAATTCTTCACAAACTGGGGATTTGTCAATAGGAAACGGCAAGCTCGGAATGCCATCATACGTGTCTGAACATCCGAGGTATCCTCTATTATGCGTACCAAAGATTGTGCAATTACTGGACAATGATTGGACACCAATTGATTTGCATCCACTTTGGCCAAATTGCCCAACAAACGACAAGCACGACATTGTATCACTGGATTAGGTATCGATTTTAGTATGGTAGCCAAAGGTATGGCAATTTTACTTTCCAAAGCCTATAAAATTACATAAATTTTACACAATTACAAAAACACGCACACAAAAACATATTTTACGGTTGATGTCATGTAATTCAATTCAATTTTTTCTGTCGCACTAACCTCTTTACAACTGATTTCATCGGTACAACAATTGCCCATGATACTCAAAGCCACTTCCAATATTTGCTCATGTGGTTTACTTAGAAAACGTACCATGGGTGAGACACCCCCTGCTTCCCGAAACAATAAAATTCCATCTTTATCTTTGACCACATCTGTACGCAATTTTACCAGACCCTTAACAATCACCGATTTATCAGTTGAGGTCTTTATTACGGTTAAAATATTTTCCACCAATTGGCGATTCATTTTCGCAGCAACTTTTAATTCAACTCATTTATTTTCTTCGGAACATAAATTCGTTAAAATAAAAACAAATCTAGCGAAAAAATTTACTTTGTTTAATGCAAAAAAAATGTTTAAATGTTTTTGTAATTTTTTTGACAGTTTCACTTTGTGGTGCTGTTTCGTTAGCGAATGTTATTTTTGTGGTGTTGCTTTTGGGGACTTGTTCGTTAGTTTTTATTGTGCTGCCATATTGTTTGTAGAAGAGTTCCAGCGATTTTTGGGGGCGCATATTTATTTGAAATTCGTAATTTTTCAAATATCGTAAAAATTCTCAAATGGTAATTTTTCAAATATCGTAAATTTTTCGTATATTTTAAAAAT